CCATCCATCCATCTGTTCATTCATCCATCATCCATCCATCCATCCATCCATCCATCCATCCATCAATCATCCATCCATCCATCCATCCATCTGTTCATTCATCCATCATCCATCCATCCATCCATCCATCCATCTGTTCATTCATCCATCATCCATCCATCCTCCATCATCCATCCATCCATCCATCCATCCATCTATTAATCATCCATCCATCCATCCATCTGTTCATTCATCCATCATCCATCCATCCATCTATTAATCATTCATCCATCCATCCATCCATCCATCATCCATCCATCCATCTGTTCATCCATTCATCCATCATCTATCCACCAAACATCTATTCATCCATCCATCCATCTATTCATCCATCAATCCATCCATCATCTATCCATCCATCTTCTTTTCATCCATCCATCCATCCATCTATGGTGGATGCTGGTCTTTCATGGAGAGGAAGCTCAGTTTCGGCCTACATAAAATGTGTGGGTAATAAATTCTACCCTCCGTTCCTTTTCAAGAAAACGTTCAGTGACCCTGTCACAGTTCTTTTTTTTTATTTTATAGTATTTATTCATTTCATTTTTAAAAACAAAACTTAACATACAACAAAACAATACAAATAAAATCAAATGAAAGGCAGCAGCAGAAGAAAAAGATCTTGATATCTGCTCCTATTTACAAAAAAATATTAATTTCAAACAATAAACCAAATAATAAAACAAAACAAAAAATTCAACTCCTCAAACAGTGACTCATACAAACACAAATTAAACAATTTCATATTTCTTTGACAATTTTGCTTTGATGATTTTTTTAAAGGAATTAATTGATCCAATCATAAAAAAATGCGAAATAAACATGAACCTACAGCGGGTCAATTAGTTCCTCAAATGATACCTTTAAGTTAATTTCATAGTTTTGTGATAATAATAATGCTAATGTATTGATAWTTTTCTAGTTTTGATTTAAGTTTGCTTGTTTAGTGTCGTCACAGTTGATAGGTGACATGATGTACGCAGGGGTAAGGAGGGGAGGCTAGACCGTCCAAATCCACAGCCTCTTTTTTTCCAGTCTTCCCGGTCTACCAAGGACCTGGCCCGCCGCAACCGGGTAGTAGTCTGGGTCCTCCGGAGGACCCGGCCTGTCGTTTTGGACACAGCCATAACATTATTTTACACTCTGTAGGTCTAAATATTAATCAGAGGATGAAGTAATATTTAATGGTTTGTGTTAAATTGTAGCATGATTCAACAGTACTCTGTATTTATGCTCCACAAGCTAATATCTGTTAGCCAGTTTAATAAATAACAGTGATTACATGGACTTTATAAGATTATTTTGATTTTAAACTGTTACATTATGTTCTGCTCAGATCACATTGAGCTAAATAAGAGCAAATCTGCTGACTTGTGTTGTAAAATGAGATGTTTTCCTGTTTATCTTCTGTTAATAAATCCATAACACAAACAGCTTTTCTGACATTATTTAAAACATTAGAT